GCTCTTCCAGAATGACATGTAAAGAAAGCTTGAAGACTGAGTATCTTTGTCTTGTCATTCTTCTCATAATGCTGTATTATTTTTTATCATAATATGCATATATTTTAGTTGTATCTGCTATCATTGTAACACTCACAATTATCAGTTAAATTCATCTTTAAATATATTTGCTACAGTGCAGTGTTTGGGGAAAGTTACATTCTTAATTATGTAAGTATTACTAAGTTTTTTGAAAGTTTTTAGGATGCTGAACATCTTATTGAGAAATTATTTTCTAAATTAATTTTGTTTTGTATTAGATTATTCTTTCTGTATCGTTAGATTTTAGGCTTTTTAAAAAACCACAGATTATATATAAATGATTTTTTGCTGGTATTTGTTTTATGTTTAATTTCATAGAATGATTTTGATAGATTTTAGAAAATTGTTTTGTTTTTTTCAAAAGAAAAGGTTCTGTCATTTCTCTTGCAACAATAGTGTGTCACTTTTCTGTATGTTTCATTTCTACAGCAGTTGTGCAAATGAGAGTAGTTGAAATGTGCTTATATAAAGACAATCTACATGTACTCATTTTTAAAAATATCCTAGAACAGTAACTGACATTTGATGCATATCAGAAACATAGTTTAAAAATAGTGGTGTCCAAGCCCCACCCCACCTTAGGCTCTCTGAATCAGACAATCTCCAGAACATGCTGAAAAGCTCCATAGGTAATCTTAATGCATACCAAACACTGAGAACTATTATCCTAAACATTTCTTGGTGTTCTTCCTTTGGGCTCTTGATATGTGATATGTAGCCTCTATTTTTTTTTTTTTCCTTTTGGCCGCGCCACGCAGCTTGCAGGGATCTTAGTTCCCCGACCAGGGATTGAACCTGGGCCCTCGGCAGTGAAAGTGCAGAGTCCTAACCACTGCACTGCCAGGGAAGTCTCTCTGTGGGCTCTTGATAAATGAAGCTCTTGATATAACTTTTCACTTTTTACTCAGAGATTTTGAGTCTTTAGAACTTGGCTAGAAATACCACCAAATAAAAAGAAATTGTACTTTAATGCAATTTCTGTAAATTCTACATTTTTACTCATTATGTATGAACAATACTGATATTTAGTTATTGGAGCATTTCTTGAGACAGTGATATGGTCTACTCTCTGTCCTCTACAACCCCTGCCCGCCTTCACTGAACAGAGATTTGGTGTATTTGCTTAAGGAATTTAGATAATTATCATGAAAACACAGTAATCATTCAGAAATAGGGTATTTAATTTCAAGAATATACTGAAATGAACACCATGGATGTGAATCAGATATTTGGATTAAAATATCTGGCCATTATTTCAAATGCTGGAAAATTCTTGAAATCAGAATACATACAGCTGTAAAGATGAATAAAATAATCTCTTTTAAGTTTACAGTCAAGTGGGAAAGACGAGCGTGAATGCCAAGTGTTATAGTGGAGGAAGGAAAGAAAGGAAATGCTGAGCAGTCAATGGAAGTTGAGTGGACAGAGAACGGGCTGTTACTCCCTTGGATAGGCAAACAAGAGGAGATGGCTAATGGGAGGAATTTGTACACAGCTGACTGACGTAGGGAGAATAGAAAGTCTGAAAGGTGGTGGCAGAGATAGGAATCAAAGACACATCTAGCACTATCTATACCACCTTGAATAGTCCTCTACCTTTAGCCTGTGCCGAAAGAGTGGGATTAGATAGCCATGTTTATAATCCAGGATCTCACACACTCAACTACAGTTGACTGCTGAAGGGCAGGGATTAGACAGCCACACTTGTAACACATGATTCCATACTTGTGACCACTGCTGACGAACACCTTACCAGGGAGAAACAATTCTTAGGCCAAACTGAGCGACTTTCTTAAGAATTTGAGCTATGAAATTCAGAGACTTCCTAGGTATTGGTGTACAACATGGAAAAGATCATTTAGATCTGGTCCAGAGTCACTGAAGCAAAAGCCAAAGTCTAAAAGAAATAGTGAAGAAGCACAGAAAGCTGACCTGTAGAGCGAAGCAAGGGGATGAAGCAGGTTTGCAGAACCAAGCGACTGAGGCCCTGTGAGAGAAGTGGCTTGGTTTCTGGCTTTGCAGACCTTTCTTGAGGTCACACAGCTATGCTTCATTTCCTTGTTCTGGATGCCAGTGATTTTTGCCTATTAAATTCTTACAGTAAAGCCCCCTTTCCTTTTTCTTTTCTTTCTTTTTTTTTTTTTTTTGCTGTGCCGTGTGGCCTGCAGCATCTTACTTCCCCAGCCAGGGACTGAACCCGCAAATTCCCTAAATCCACCTTTTCTTAAGCAGGCTTGAGTCAGTTTCTGTTGCATGTGTTTAGGCAGTTTCAACTTAGAATCCTAAGTTCTGATCCTCAGCGATTGAGTATATGGAGGTGCCATTAACTGCTAGGCAAGATAAGGGGGAGGTTTATGGAAGAGAAGACTTTATTTTGTATGTGCTGAATTTGATCAGTGGTGAGATACCTATGTGAAAATGTCTAGCAGTAGTTGGAAATGGGGACTGAAACCCAGCAGAGGTTAAAGCTAGAGAAACAGATCTTGCAGCATAAGGCTAATAGTTATTGTGATCGAAATGATTTAGGCAACCCTGGGAGATGGTACAGAAGAACAAAAGATGAGGACGAAATCTTGGGGGAAGTGCATTTTAAGAATGAGCAAAAGACAGAAAAGGAGATGGAAAGTGATAATAGGAAGAAAACCAGGGTGATGCAAGTTTCACGAAGACAAAAGTGGCTTTGTACTGATCACGTGGTACAGAGAAATTAGATAGGATGCAAATCAAAGACAACATTGGGTTGAGTAATTGGGTTGGGTAATTAGAGCATGATGAGCCCCTGAGAAAGGCAGCTGCAGTAATAATAGTGGGAGTAGAACCCAGGTGGATATGGTTTGAGTAGCAGATAAGACATGAATACTACCATTTAGTTTGAAAAGCAGAGTGCGTACAGCAAACAAGATCATTTTATCAAATATCTAAAAGGTATAAACCACTTTATTTCTTGCTTTTTTGCTTCAAACTTGAAACTTTGTTAAGTGATGAGCATAATAGAGTCTGCAACACTGTAATTTGAGCTGGATCTTAAAGGATGATTGCTAAGAGGAAAATGGAAGGAAATGTATAACATGTATATGATTGCAGATTTGCTCGTTACAATTCAGATGTGCAGAAGAAGGGGAATTTTCCTAAGAACTCTTGCACCCAGTGGGAAGTCTAGAAAAAAATTAACTTTTAGTCCTAAGCACTTTAAAACCTCATCTGATACAAAGCAGCTAGAATTTATATAAGGTAATGCTTAAACATTTTGAAAATTGCTGTCTTATTTCTACCCTTTGTCTTCTCTCTAAAATGCTGTCCACATATATGGGGAGGAGAGGAGGCTTGCATGACAAAATGGCATCAGGGAAGACACTGTCTTCACTCTGTTCTCTGGGCATCCTGCTGGCCTTTCATGCAATAGGCAACAGCTTGTAAAATATGTGATCAGGTTTTCCTTAGCCTGGTCAGAGCCCAGTAATTCTTGGCTGTGGCTTCACCTTAGTTCTCTTGGATGTGGAGAAGAGAGCTCTGAGACTTCTGCAGAAATGTCTCAAGCAGTGCCGTGTAAGTCAGGTTGCAGGTTTAGCACATGCCACTCCACTGCAGGCTCCAGATAAGCCTACTTCCCATTTACCGATTTGCTTCCCACTCAGCTACCTTGTCAGTCTCCCCTTGGGAGAATATAGGAACTTGTGGGTCCCCTCTGTAGCACAGAGGAACAGAGAGTAGCTTGGGAAAGCAAACTGCATTAGGAAGGTTTACTTTGATATGGCTATGTCCTAGCCTGGGAGTATCTGTTTCAGAATCCTGTGGACTCCTCTGCTACCCAGCATATTATGGAATACTTCAAAACAATGAAAGCTGAATAGAAACTGCTACATTAAACAACATGAATGACTTGCACTAATATAATGTACAAAAGAAGTCTGACACAAAGCGTATATATACTGTATGATTCCATTTATATAAAATTCCAAAACATGCAAAACTACTCTGTGATGTTAGACATCATGATAGTGGTTGTCTATTGGAAGATGGTTGGAGGTGGTTCTGGGGAAGCTTATGGCATTTACTATCTTTATCTGGGTCCTGGTTAACACAGATGGGTTAGCTTTGTGATAATTCATCTCGCTATTCACTTAGATACTTCCATTTAAAAGAAGTATATATTAAAGAAACTAATTTGAAGAATGAGAAAACCAGAGCATTGGTTTTTAAAACTTCAGTGAGATTAAAGATGACCTGGATTGTAAAAATGCGGATTCCCCAAACTATCCTCAGAAATTGATTCAGTAGCTCTCACTCTAAGAATCTGTATTTTTAACATTTGCCCCAGGTGATTCTGATGCTCCATACTTTAAAAAATGCTGATTTAGTATCTTCAGTTTAAACTATCTTTACTCTTTGGACAGATGTTCAGATGTCTGTGACAGAAGTCTGTCATAGTGTTTCTCAAGTCTGAGTTTATTGGCTATCTAATTGCTAGGAGTAGCATTTCCTCACCACCTTAATGTTTTCCAAATGTAATGACAGTTGTTAGAAATGTTTGTATTTTTTCCTATACCATGGTTTTCTTGCACTCATTGAATTCTGCAGTTTTTTAAATTTGATCAAAAGACAAAATTTTTTTAAATTTCCTATTGCATTTTTAACACTATAGATATGACTTTCCTCAGACACACAACTGTTTTTTAGATACAGTTAATTATTTCTAGCTGTATTCAGCATGTAATAATGTAAAAGAACTTGATAAAAAAAAACAGCTAGTCTTTATATCTGCAGAGGAGAGATCTTAAAGTGGAAAGAAAGATCTGAAACATGTAGCAAACACTGAAAACTAAAGTTTGATAAAAGCTAATAACTAAGAGTAAAATAAAATTCCTCTCTCTGAAAGCATGAGAATGGATTTGGTAAGGCATTTAGGTCTTTTCTGGCTCAGTAGCTCTAGAACATTAAGTGCGAATCATGGCTCATATAATTTATTCACATGTTCTTCCCATTTCATAACCACCACCACCATCTGTGCCACCCCCTCACCACCACCACCCCAGTTTCCCCAGGGAGTATGGAAGTGTAGTATGAGGTGCTGAATATAAGGAAAAACCTGTTAAACTTTAAGAATCATTAAGTAGTGAGTAGGGCATATTTAATTCTTTAATCTATTAAAGGAATGGACAATGACAGATGTGGGGTTTTTTTGTAATGTTAAATTTTTTGAATAAATACAGCTATGATTTGAGGAATTCACAGTACTTTAAGTGAAGGCCAATACTTTGACAACTGGAAAGCTATCACCTTTATTCCTCTCTCAACATTTAGAGATGGATGGTTTTTCCATTTAGACTGCAGAACTTAAAGTCACCTCTTTAAATTGTTCACATAAAATTTTTTTTCTCACACTTTGCCCAGCTTTAGCAGTAGTAAATCATTCAGATTAAACAGTTAAGTGGTATGTAAGAATTAATTTGTGAACATGGGTGTGTAATCAAAGGATCGTGGTGTTCGTTGCCTCTTCATAGAAATTTTAATTTGAAAACAGGATTGACCACAGACAACAGTAATTGTTTGCCATCAAATCATGAAAATGTTATTGGCATCCTCCAAAAGAGAGAATTATCTTTTTTAAAAGTTCACTGGCAGCACTGACTTGTTTGGAAAGTATACATTTATATGTATTTGTATATGTTTATATATATTTGCCTGTATTTGTGAAATTGTATCAATACCCATTTGTAAAATACCTAAAATACTTTTTCAACCTCTAAACCCCTTGACAGTCCCTGGAATCTGCCACCTGAAACCTTTTTACCACTTCATGACAACTTTCAGTTAGGATACCTATAATGACCTTTCCTTGTATGCTGCTTTACTCTTTGGGTATATTTTCTTTATAAAAAGAAATTAGTTCCTTGATTTCCTTCTCCAGGTGTTCAAATTTTAGTCCCTATTTTGCTAAATTTCTTTGAAAAAATTACACTACTCAGTTTTTCACAATGGACAGTCATTCACAGTTTAGTATCTCTTTTCATTGTTCTAATTTATGAAAGAAAATTTAATAGACAATAAGATGTAATCTCCGTGAAGAGTAATAAGACAAATATATGAAAATTAAAGCTTGTTTTTCATAGATATTGACCTACTGGTACAAGAGTAAGACCTGCATTAGATGATGGGCTGCAAGCTTCTCCATAACCTGGTGTCCAGTAATAATGCCTTTTAAGGCCATTGGAGACTTCTGCAAGGTACACGTGTCCATCCACCACAAATGGCTCCACATCTGTATTGTCTGATTTTAGACGGCCCATGTGAATTAAATCTGAATATGCCTAGGATTTTTAAGAAAAACTGTATCATTAAGAAAATAGTTTATTCATTTTACAGTGCTTAAACAAATTTCAACATTCAAATTAGATGTGATAATTTATAGTTTAAAATATTCTGTATAACACTGCTGAATTTTAGTATTTTGCAGGCATTGTAGTTTTTATTCATTTAATTCCACACAATGTAATTACAATCTTGCAAAACTTATTTCTACATTTTAACGTTATTAGGCATGTTTTCTTGTTTCATGACTCCCAGAGATAACAATTCTATGTATTACCAATTTTGTGGACCAAAGGTCTCATGGTCAAAATTATCAAGTCCTAAGGTGACTGACTCATAAATGAGGATGGAGTGCTGTTGTATATGCCCTTGAAGATCCGATGACAGCCAGGGATCCATTTTTCAGAAAAATAATCACAGATTTTGGCATACAACTGTATGGAGTTCATGGACCCCCGAAGGTAATCTACAGATTTAGGCTTAGAGAGACCATTCCCATAGTATGAGATGCTGGCCTGGCTGGCCACTAATTATTTCTTCATTGTAGAATTTTCTTTGTATATCTCTTATGGATCATTGATATCTACATAGAAGTGTCGTACAAACATGTTAAACTAGTTTGTCAGTAAGGTTGCGATTATAGAGAAAGGCAGAAATTAGACGGTAAAAGATTCAAAAGTTTAGTTGCTTTCTGCTGTAGCTTGTCATTAGTAGTTCCAACTCAGCCTCTAGTGCACAGAATGTGGATATGTTTTTCTGAAATCAAAGATTTTTTTATTTTTATTTTTTTGCGGTACGCGGGCCTCTCACTGTTGTGGCCTCTCCCGTTGCAGAGCACAGGCTCCGGAAGCGCAGGCTCAGCGGCCATCGCTCACGGGGCCCAGCCGCTCCGCGGCATGTGGGATCCTCCCAGACCGGGTCACGAACCCATGTCCCCTGCATCGGCAGGCGGACTCTCAACCACTGCGCCACTAGGGAAGCCCAAGGATTTTTTTTTAATAGTGTACATTTTATTAGCCTTTTTAGTGATAGAATTCTGGTTAGTCTTTTGGCAATTTTTGAGAATTCTAACATATATATATGTTTTTGTTTTGGCTGTCTTGCGTCCTTGTTGCTGCGCGTGGGCTCAGTAGTTGTGGCTCACCGGCTCTAGAGCGCACAGGCTCAGTACCTGTGGCACACGGGCTTAGCTACTCCGCGACCTGTGGGATCTTCCCGGACCAGGGCTTGAACCCGTGTCCTCTGCAGTGGCAGGTGGACCCTTAACCACTGTGCCACCAGGGAAGTCCCCTAACGTTTTTCTTTCTCTTCTTTCCAAATGAAAACTATTTGTTACTATGCTTTTTGTGTGTGTTGAAAGCAGTATCAAGGGTTCTCTGTATTTACATAAGCAACACACCAAATATTTTGACAGCTTTTACTATATCTCTCCAAATTCTGTGTCTTGGTTTAATTATTGGGTAGTAGGTTGGAGATTGTGCCACAGCAAATTTAAAATAAATCAACAATTGTGATTTAAAAAAACCGGAGAAATTGGGACTGTGTAATTCAGTGATCTTTATACTAATATGTAGTAGTTGATATCTTTTCCTATTTCAACCACAAAACTTTCCAGTAGATAATTTTTAGGACTTAACATTAAAATTTATCAAAACTGCAGTGTCTCGTTATACTTTGTAATCACGTCTAAGGCATCTGTATATAACAGCTGACGTTATAGGGAAAACCCCAGAAAAAGCCTCAGTGAAGAAAAAAACTTACCACACATGTAGCTTCATCAAATTTGTTTCCCCAAATGTAGATATTAGAGAGAGTGGGATTTGTTTTCATTGATTGTGAAAGTGCAACAAGTCCTTCTCCCTCTATGTTGTTGCTTACCACTGACAACCTATGGAAAACCAAAAAGTAATAACCCTGGAAACCAACAGTTCCACAAAGAGAATGCATAAGCTAGCAACAGCATTTATTACACACATTTTATTGTGTTAAGTCTTAGCATTAAAGACATTTAATGTATAATCAAAATATTGACCTAATAATTCCTAAAATCCAAGAAACTTAGTTTTCTAATTGGATACTTCATGTACCTAAGTAGAGCTACCTACATTTTGGAAATAAACAGTCTACTGTTTTCTATTTATTATTCAGTAAAGGTTTGGGGTGGATTACAGATATATTTTTCAAGATAAAGTCATCCAAGTAATATTTTCTTCTTTGATTCATTCTTATTTTAGTCTTGATCATATTGAATGATTATAATTTTTCTGTTAGAATTCAGGATAAAATAATAAGAATTTTCTCATTAATTTTAAGCAGTCAGAACTAGAATCATTCTAATTTTTAAAAGACATTACTTTTGAAAAATAGAAAAAATTGAAATGTTTCCTGTAACTTTAATATGTCAATTTAGAAACTGAGTTTTCATATTTCACCATGAATCTTAAGAGGTAAGAGGTTTAAGGTTAGTATTCTAAAAAATTTAAGTTTTTCTGTTATTTTGGTTAAATATAAAACCATACTGACGCTTTAAGGGTCCTGTTGTGTGAAGCAAGAGTGTCACTGAGATAGTTTGCTCCTGCATTTTCTATTCTGTTAAAAGAAAGATCTATTACTTCCAGGGTAGTATTGCTTTTCAGTACATCGGCCAAACACACCATTCCATCCTGAGTTATTTTATTGCTGGGAAAGGAAAAATATGTAGTTATATTTGGAAATATGAAGTATTCTTTTATTCACAGAGATAGCATGCTTGAAAACTTATATAGCAATAAGTACTTTCTATTTTAGTTAAGATTTATTGTAATCACTCAATTTCCAAAAAAGTTAATAAAAATTTGCCATAAAATGTTGCTTCTATTCTGGTTTACATATTTAAATTGCTCTCAAGTTATTATATCGGTATAAGCCAAATAAATACTAAGGCTCAAGATAAAAAGTTGACAACAATGGTTGCATTTTCTAATTTTTGGAATTAGTGTCTAACAAAGAGTCTTATCTACAGTGAATATTTACAGAGATTATTTCCATGATTTAACTCCTGAATTAATATATAAGTTATCACTTACCAGCTTACATCAAGGTAGCGTAGGCTTCTGTTCAGATACAGTGCATCACAAAACTGTTTCATACCACAGTTTTTTATGTCATGCTTACACACATGTAGTTCAACAAGGCACTGATTTTCCTTCAACATGTGGCCTAGATGAACTGTGGACTCTTCCTAAAAATAGATAGTCTTTTTTCTAGAATATAATTTTGAAGCAGTACATGTTTATTCCAAACATGCAGTTATTTAAATTAGCTTTTTAAAAAGATTTTATCAGTTAAGACTATTAGTCTACGATTTGCAATTTGTTTGGCGTGGCTTTTTAAAAAACTCATTTTGCCACAAATATCTTTACTGTCTTAGAAACAGGCAGCAGGCACTTGTAAAGTGCAGTGACTAAGTGATTTAAGAGATGCTGGTTAAAAAAAATCATTACTAAAAAAGCAACAATCATCTCAGCAGGA